TCGTAAATGTGCCTTTTCACGTTTACTTCGTTGCTGGTCTATCAATGTTGGAACAGTAAAAAAGCACATGTGCGGACTATTTTTCCATTAAAAAATTAACAACTTGGAATTTTAAGATAAAAATATTTGCATATAGACTAGACTCTATGAGTAACAATATAGTGAAAAATGCAGCCTTCTAGCTCATTTTTAGTTTCGTAGATATACCAGAAACAAAAGACTTTGGCTTTCTGGTCTATCAATTTTGGGACACACTGTAGAATAGTAAAACGTTATTTTTTACATTTAATATGCGTTGAATATTAAGATAAGTGATTACTTCCAAGGTAAGCTGAGTGCCTGCTCTTTGTTTTCTTTTGGGTGTGGTTTCCTTCTATTCGCTATAATTCTTAATGTTAAAAATGTTCTACTTTTTTTTCGAAGTTTTGAAGTATTCAAATGTTGATAATAATACACCTGTTTTTGTTTTCAAGTCATTCGTTTACTGTTTGTACTTTTCAAGTGTTTTTAAAAAAGCATATAGCATAATAACCTTTTTGTAAGTGATGATTATGTGATAAACTAATATTCATGATTTTCTTATTTAACAAATCAACAGAGAATTTCTCATTACGTATTTTAACGGAGAATTATTTGTTAGTTATTATCTCACTTTATTTAGATTATCAATTAACTTCAAAGAGTATTTTTATCAGATTAATTCAACAGATAAGCGACCTAAGAGTTCTTTTGGCATACTAAATTTAATAGAAAGAAAAATATTCATCGTAAAGTTGAGTACTGTTTGTACTATAAGTGTATATTTAGAAGAATAAAAATGGAGGAGCATGGAATATTTATTGAAAAACAAGTTGATGAATCTGAGCGAAAAGAACACGAAACATTTTTACGTATGGCTATTAAACTAGCAGAAGAAAATGTTGAACATGGCCTCGGCGGACCGTTTGGAGGTAAGATCTTTGGCTTTTTCTGTAGTCATAAGGTTTATCTGTTGTGTTCATATTTGAAGCTGTTATTTGCAAAGATGGAAAAGTTATTGCGAATGGCTCAAATAAAGTTGTGAGTATTAGGCTTCTAAATATCTCTCCATTCTATGTGCAGACGAGGAGATTGTTTTTAGGTACCTAGTAACGACCCAACGGCGCATGCCGAAGTTGTAGCGATTCGTCAAGCTTGTTCCGAAACAAACACATATCGTCTTGATGGTTGTGTGATTTACTGTAGTTGTGAGCCTTGTCCCATGTGTTTGGGGTACGTGTCTATTAAATGTTTAGCAACGAAATTATCTACTTTTCTGTTTTGTTTAGAGCTATTTATTGGTCACATGTTGATCAAATATTTTTTGCCAATAGTAAACATGATGCAGCAGTAAGAGGAGGACTTTTAAAAATAACGTTGTAAATTTTGATAATAATTTTTTTGGTTAAGGAGTGTGGTTTCGATGATCATTTTATCTATGAAGAATTGGCACGTGAATTACATGAACGAAAAGTACGCGTTACACAACTATTAGAAGAGGAAGGTATTAAAGCATTTGCACTATGGGCATCATCATCAACAAAAACTCATTATTAGTTTTTTCTGTTAAATCCTTCTTTTTTTCTGAAGTGATATTGCGAGAAAAGCAGTAATTCTACTATTAAGAATGATCATGATCATTTTTAAACAGACAACATTTACAATGTTTTACTGTTCATAAAATTAAGAAAGTGTTAAATAAATGTAAATTTTTGATGAAATATGCTGTTAAACATTTTTTGTTAATAATGAAATACTCATACTAACTTCGATTTATAAATTTTCTCCTAAGTAATAAATGCACGCTTTTTGAATTATCTTTTATGAAAGAGTCAGTATTATATCGGCAAAAATAAGCAAAAGTTTCAAAGAATCATATGTAGTTGGCTTTAGGACATCTGCTCAGTTTCTTCTGTTGTATCAAACGAACTTGATAATAAGCAAATGGTAATGAGCACTATACAAAATTCAATGATGCCAATAGGAAAGAATGACTCTTTGCCTGAGTTAGGGAGAAAATATGTTTAATATTTTCTTTAATAAAAATTTAGAGAATTCTCAGATGCAGTAATTTGATGTTCTTTCCAAGTGCCATTTACTCAGGAGATTTATAGAATTAAGATAACATGTCAAAGGTAAATATTCGATATCTGAATGAGAAGAAAACTGTAAACATACGCGTAAAACGCACGACTATACATTTTTTACTATTTATTCTACTACTATTTACACTCTAATATCATGATAAGTGTCACAATCGAACACATTAGATTTAAGGGGTGGGATATCCCCCCTCCCTTTTATTTTGATATGTTGTACAGTTCGATGGGCTAGGCCAGAATAATTCCCCTTTATGGGTTCACAAACGCAAAAAAGTGATCAACATCGGGTTACAAAATTTTTTTTCCCATGTATTTTGCTGGGAAATGAAAAAGTATTTTGAAAAAAACCTTGTCAAAAATGCTGCAATAACGGCGCATGGTGGAAAAAAACTTTTGGTTAAAAAATGCGCGCAATGGCCGACTGCGGGCGGGGAGGTAACGTTGTACGATTTTCAAAATTTTCTTCCATATGTTTTAAATTTAAATTCTTTTAAAATTAAAATTTAATTTTTTTCAGAATTTTCTCATTAACTCTGAAAAACATACAACGTTATCCGCTCGCAGTCGGCTATTACGCACAATTATTGTAGCAAGTCTTTTACTCCAGCATGCTTTGTTATTGCAGGATCTTTGGCAAGAGTTTCACACTGCAGTTAAGGAGTGGCTCCTCGCACTTTATCAAACTATATTTGAAAAGGACGATTGAATTTGAATTTGAATTTGACGGATTATAACATAGTGACTAGATAGCCTGAAGTGTTCTCTACGATTCTGCGCAAGGTCGACCTCTCTAACTATTGTGGTTCTCGCAAGGTAGGCATTTTACCTGACCAAATGGTAACGAATTTTGGGTGACTCAGAAAAATGTCTGCCATTCGAGAACTACAACAGTTAGAGAGGTCGACCTTGCGCAGAATTGTAGAAAACACCTTGGGGTATCTAGTCATCATGTTGAAATCAAAAATCCATCGCAAATTCAGAACCTGACAACCTCATCGCTTTTCATCCGTCAGGTACATCGCCTGAAAAAACAAAGTTTTTAGTACCAAATATATGTGAAGATAGAGCAAAGCATTCTCTACAAAATGCTGAAAACCCAAATTCTCTATCTTTTTCCGTTCTTGGAAGTTACTCAAAAAACATCAATGGCCGCTCTGTTGAGAATTCCATAGTAGAAAGCCCGTTTGCCTAAAACCGAGTACAAATAACTGCTTATCGGTAACATTTTGAAAAGACAAATACAGGGATTTGTAGCGCTTGAAAATCTCTGTCGAGTGGCGTATTATGTTACCGTTTCCAATAAATCGTTAATTTGCGAATAAAAGTGTAACACATCAGAGTGATATTAATTAGTATTTATTCCCATGATTAATTATAAATTATTGTTTTAAAAATCATTTTTTAAAACATTTTTCATCAGACTATAACAACAGGCCATCGGCTATCAAACCATGCAAGAACGACATTTCTATGATTATTTTGAACCGAGCTACAAGCTTTGTAAAGTGCGAACTAACTCTAGTTAAAATTTAAACTTAATTAATTAATAATTCTGGGAATATTTACCAGTTCATCGAAAGAGCTTAAGGATATACGTAGTCAGGTGTCCTCTTTAAACTGACATAGTTCGAGGACACATATAGGGGGAGGGTCCTCTGTGACGCTAATTAGACCCTACTAACAGCTTCACAAAACAACATCCAATTCTATTCTACCAGCAGCAACAATTATTATTAGTTTAATGATAAACTTTTTGTACAAAAAACGGTTTGTACAATGTTGAATTACAATGTCCAATTAATCAATAAATAAAATAGATAAAATTCTTCTTTGTTGTTTTGAGAAGAAGGTGGTAGAAATCGTGATGCTGATGTAAAGAAGGAGAAATGAAAATAAGTATTGCAAACGCAAATGCTAAATTATAGAAATATTAAATATAAATTAAATGTAAAATTTAATTTATATTAATTACTAAAATATAATAGTAAAGCTCCTTCTTCCCGGTATATGAGAGAAGTTTGAATTGGAAGATTAATCAGAGGAAATCTCTCTCGATAAATGTGAGAGAGAGAGAGAAGAAGAAGGAGATAAGAGATGTTACTTTGAAGTGGAAAAGTGACAAGAATGATAAAATGATTAATCCAGTTCCTAGACCATCTTGACAGTTACACCGTGTCCCCGACGACCCGACAGTTTACCTTTGACATTACCGACTTATACACTATGATTCCTCAAAAACAGTCCGTTGCTGCAGTTTGTCGACTTCTTTCAAAAACAAAAAATCATAATGTTATGATCTTCACCTTCGGTTAGATCATATCATCACTTCTCCTATTCTTCTTATAAAATACATATATATGCTTTGTGCGTTATTCTCTATGTTCTGGGATTTTCCCCATATGTAACTTTCTCT